TTATCCAAACCATTTGGATGACACCAGCTAACTCAGGACCCGGATTTCTTATGGGTCAGTTCTGGATTATTTCTGCATATTATACAAGAAGACTGCTTATCACAAAATGCTTAAATGGTATTGGGAGCAAAGCCCAGCACCCAGGACGCCCTGTCCCACATAAGCACCCTAACCATGGGGCTACATAGCCACGCTTTCTCCGATTTTCTTTCTTTCCCCATGGATTCTTGCATACTTGGCTTCACTGTGACAACAGGAGGGTGGAAAATGGTCCTTCCAAACTAACTGAAAACCTTGTGTCTGGAGCATTCATATGGCAGATAGGAGCTGTGGGTTTGAATCCTCAGGGTTTGGGAGCCCTGAGAGCTCTGATCTCAGAGTCTTGTGCAATGCTTTTATCACCCGACAGCTATACAAACAGTGAATAATGTCACCTCCTCCTCTGGCTGCATATTAAAGGATGATGTTAAAATGCTACATAGTTCTTAAATACAGTTATAGGGGTTGTGAAAGAAGTTAGGAGCTTCTGTCCTTTGAATTTTAGGCATCCTATAGGACTGAACTTCTAATCTTCCAAACTTGCTTGCTGATCTACTGATAAAAAGCCGGAACTTCTTTTCACAGGGATGACTGAGTTCCAAAAGATGGGTGTCCTTTGTACTTACTTTTTATAGTAACTTGTGAGTGACAATCTCAAACACTCTGTAAACGTTAGTCCCAGAGCATCCGGGGGAACTAACATACATTTTTCTCAATTCACAACAAACAAGCAAGGAAATGCTCAAATGTAGTGCCTAGGAAGCAAAATGCATCAGTTGTCCTAGTGGATATTCTGCCTTGGGGATACCACAGACCTAAAAAATGCATATATTTTTGTACTTCATGAAATATTTTAGACTGCATCCATTCTAATTAGGTTCTTAGATAAGACTGAATAGCGAGTTTCTGTCATTTTTTCCAGTTTCTGAATTCAGCCTTTGGCTCAGTGACTGGCTTCCATTTTAGGTCTCTGGAGAGCATAATGTACTGCCTGAATAACTATGCTGTCTTATGTCCAAGGCACTTATCTGCTTCCATTAAACCATGTTGAGTTTTAAAATTAACACAAGAGAAGGGAAAACTACTCTGATACAGATTTTCATTTCAGCTACTTTGGTATAAATTTAATGATTAAAATTCTAATGGAATTATCTTTTCCTTGAAATTTTTGTAAGCAGTTAACCATTTCAAAAGTAAACACTTAAAAGCTGAGATAATTCAGGTTTTATCATATTTCTCCCTTTTGCCAAAATAGACTTAATTGAGAAAAGATGGAAAAATTATTAAGGGAAAGTAATGGCCTGAAACTCTGTTCCTGTCAAAAATAATTAAAAGGTAGCCTTACAGAGGCAAAGTTGCAAGATTTGTAATTGTAGAGTGGTGGAAGAGTTATTCAAACTCTCATGGAAGCTGAAGGATGATTATTTAGACTTACAATTGTCAGATGTTTAAGTAACAGTAACAAAACCACATTGACTGAAAGTAAAACAGTTAAATTAGTTTAAAGGACTTTTACTACACTAATGACGTGAGATACTTGGGGTCCCAGCCGGCGCCATGTATTCCACAAACTCCGAGTGCTTTCTTCCACGTGTTGTCCATCACTTTCATTCATCTTAATCTTTGTTTAATATCCTATCCGTATTTTCTTTGTCTAACTCAAACACTGCTAGGCAAATGTAGTAATTTTGAATTCTGCTCATTCTACACTCACTATTTTTTATCACTAGTCTGTTCATGTCAGGCAATGCAAGATCAGGATATTTAAGTATTTAAACACAAAAATGTGGGGGGAGTAAGCCTGTAAAGTCGTCACTGGTAGAACTGCTCAGACAAATAACCTTTGCCAGCAATAAAGTGACCCTAAACCTTACAGACATTTGGCAAATACTCTTTAGCCTTATACTGTAGATTATTTTCTTGTGAAACTTCTGAAACTTTTTAGTGGCCTCCCCAGTTCATACCCAACATACCTTGAACATTCCTATAGAAATCCATAGGCCTTAGGATTTAGCCAGTGGCTTCTCCAAAATGGCTCCTGTAGGTATTCCTATTTCCCCTCACTTTATGTTGAACTGTCGATAAGTAAGAAAGCATCTTCTGAGGGTCCTTGGGGCCACTGACCCACGTATGAGTTTTGGGTCCATAGAGCAAAGCGGAGTGCTTACCTCCCAAGAGGTAAAAGCCTCACCGGGAGGCTGTTCTCTTACCAGACAGATTTTGTTTCATACAGGAGTGAAGGGAATGAAGAAGCTCACTCAAATCAGTAAAGCCTCCAGGAGACCTACTACAAATGACAGTAACCTCAATGCTGAAGTAATAATATTGATGTAACTATAGTAGTCTTAGGACACATTCATCTAAAAGAGGATCAGAGCACAGGAAGAGGTATTGTCCTTTATTAATCAGCTCGTAGACCTGGAAGATGGACAGCTTTTTGGATTGCGTCGCTGTCATTTCTTATCACACCCGATGAAATGGACTCCGAACCTGAAAGGAATGGACCACAGTTTGGGCCTTAGCATTACAAGAGTGCAATAAGACAGCTAAATCTTCATAAAGTGAACTCGATCCATTTTCAGAGTCATCTGGAGATCAGATTTAGTTACTAATTATATTGCTTCATAATCAACTAATAAACATCTTTCAGTACATTTGAGAAACTAGTGCCTTTTTTAGTAACAAGGATTTTACTAGATTTACAGGGATTTTACTAGAAACCCTGTTATTAAACTAATGATCAGCACTAGGGAGAGGATCTCAACTGCAGTGTTTTTCACAGTTTACATGCTTTAGCGGTGTTATTTACTGAGGTTACATTGCAAAATATATTTATGATTTTTATCACAATATTTATTTGAAGTTCTATATGTTGTCCTAATTTCACTAGATAAGTAGTCTGCCATAAGCTGTTTGCACCCTTTAAAGTCGATGTAATTTATTAAATGCTTTTCAATACAAGGCTTTTTAGATTATGTAGGGGATGTGTGCATAGTATATTGCATTTACAAGCTCAAACATATGGTATTAATAAAGAGTGATGGCTCTGACGATTTCCTTTTCTAAATAATGAAACTTTTTCGATTAAGGGCTGAAGATGCCAAGGTAGCTATTCTGTAATCTAACAAACATGTGCATAGATGTATTTGAACACATGGTCATCAACGCATGTCTGTAAACTCACATAAGTATAATGTGAATCACCCTTGGAACTATCCCACAAAAGCCTGATCCAAAGTCTATTTAAATCTATAGACACATTCCCACTGATTTTGTTATGTTGTGGATGAGGTCCAAAAGGGTTGATTACAGATGGTTCTTTGCAGAAGAACTGGTGAAATCCTCTCATGGCAAAACTTCCATTGACTTTATTGAGATCAGGATTTTCCCTATGTATGTTTAGACAATCAGCTTTCTGTGCTCTTTAATGACCAAGAAGCGATGCTGATAAATCTGGAAATTCTGTCATGAATAATTGATTTTCAGCTGCATAAAGGATCTCTGCCAATGCACTACAACTTACATTCTTACACGATATTAAGATATTTCAGGGAATGTACACTCATTCTTCATTCAGACATCTATTTTATCCTCAGTCCCTGCTAGGATTCAGAGACCAAGTGCTCCTTTGCCTTTTCACATGCAAGCTAATTAATGCCAGTGCTGCTGCCATTAAAAATTGCATGATAGCTAGCATGCTTGCCTAAAGAAGTAGAAATCTTGGTTCAAATCCGTCCTCTGCCCTGTGTCGCCTGAACTTGCGTCTCCCATGTCCTAGGAAGCTTCCTGGACTCCTATGATATATGATTAAAGCTGTCCTAATTTCTATCAGACATTTAAGTATTCACTGAATGGCTTATGGGAATGTAGGTCTTCCTTCTTATGGCCCCAGAAGCACAAAACTGGAGATTTATTTAGACATTGGATTATTTGTTCCCCATTTGCTTTCTTTCTCCCCACCCCAAAATAATTATTAGTTATTCCAGGGACACCTCAGAAAGAGAGGTTTTCAAGACTTTTCTCACTCTGGCTTAGCAGTTTGAGCACTCCTTGTTGTGGTTTAACCTGGCAGGCAGCCAAACACCATACAGCCACTCGCTCGCTCCCCCCACCCAGCTGGATGGGGGAGAGAACTGAAAAAAAAAGTAAAATTCGTGGGTTGAGATAAAGACAGTTTAACAGAACAGAAAAGGAAGGGAAAATAATAATCATAATAATGATGAAAGAATATACAAAATAAGTGGTGCTCAATGCAATTGCTCACCACCTGGCGACCAATGCCCAGCCAGTTCTCCAGCAGCGGTCATTGCCACCCAGCCAACTCCCCCCAGTTTATATACTGAGCATGATGTCATATGTTTTGGAATACTCCTTTGGCCAGTTTGGGTGAGTCCTGGCTGTGCCCCCTCCCAGCTTCTTGTGCACCTGGCAGAGTGTGGGAAGCTGAAAAGTCCTTGACTAGCGTAAACACGACTTAGCAACAACTAAACCATCAGTGTGTTATCAACATTATTCTCATCGGAAATCCAAAACACAGCACTACACCAGCTACTAGGAAGAAAATTAACTCTATCCCAGCCGAAACCAGGACACTCCTTCAGAAGACATGGTTTAAGCGCTCTTGACAGAGGAGAGCTGCAGAATAAACAGCCACTGTCACTGCCAGGCTGAACAAATTCAGGTACCAGCAATGAATGATTTTTGGCTGAAATCAAGCTGTCACTGGAATCAATAAGAAATGAGAAGAAATCACGTTTTCCTTCGTAATGAAAAGAGGCACACAAATTGAAAAGGAGGAACTTCAAGCTAATACTGTTTCATTTTCTGACTATTCTGCTCCTGTTTACTAATTTACTCTTCTTTGTTACTTTTTAGGATAAGGCCTTAAGAGTTTTCTTTTCTGTAAATTTTATCAGGTGATTTCTTTTTTAAAAATATAACCCTTTTTTCCTTTCCTGCAGGTCCTGTTGCCACCATATGATGATCCTGTGAACGGAGGTGCTAAAGATCCACCACCACCTTATGTGTCAGCATAAGTGAGAGAGTGCTGTGTACCTAGGGAGGATAGCTTTACTTTTCAGACATTGGAGCAATAGTTTGATAATTTCACTTCCAGGATATAACCTCTATGGGTTATATACATTGCTGTTTTGCTGACACATTGAAACATAAATTGTATGATTACAATTCTGTAGATAGTTTTAATAATTTGCTGCAACTACAGTAGCGTTTCAAAAACTAGTGAACTAGTTTCAGAAGAATTCTGGGTAGCGCTAAGGTTACAGTAGTCACGCTTTTTCCACCGTGTCTGACATGCAGTGCTAGAGAACATAGAACTTTGCATTCTCAATCAGGTTCAGAGTGTAACTTTCTTTTTTTTATTTGTAAAACTTCCAAAGCATTACAAATGTGTTTCTCAGATGCCCACTTTCACCTTCAGAATACAGACCAAGTCCAAAAAAGTGACATTCCACTTCACTCCTGTTCTGCAAGAATTTATTAAGTTATTATGCTATGAAGGGTGACGATTGCAAAAAGAAGAATGAGTCTTATGCACTATTCTCATCAACCTGGCTAATGGGAAACAAATTTAATTGGGAAGAACAAGTACGGGAAATGAGAGCAGACAAAGCACTCTGTGATGTCTAACAAGCCAGAACCTGTGGTCTACACGGACTCACTTTGTCCCAGCCTGCAACCATTCTAATGCTCAAAAAAAAGAGTTCTTACCAACTTCTGGTAATTTTCTTTTCCTGCCTACACACCTTTTTCCTCCCCACCAACTTCACAAATAGTAGTTTGAGGTCACAAAATCCCTGCTTTTGAAGTCCCATGGTTACGTGACAAAGCTGCATCTTTTGCATTCAATATGCAAATGTTTTCCTATAGGAATGTGCCTGTAAATATCGCAATGTTCTGCTGAGTGTGAACTAAATTATGCAGATTCTAAGATACATGTTCCCAACGTATGGGAAGCTTATGCATGTAACTTCCTCGAGCATTAGCAGATATGTTTTGCGTGTTTCTCATATACATCAACGTGGGGATTTTAGATTTTTTTTATGACTGAACTGGTTGTGCTGAGAATCTTTCTCATGGGACTCATCCATCCATGAATGCTTGTGTGAGGTATTTATTTCTTCCCCAGAGAAGTGCCTCCTGCACATGTAACTTTTTGTTGTTGAAGAAGGATCTACTTTTAATTGAAAAGGAACAGGAAAAGGGAATATAATGTGTGTCTCTACCTCTCATCGTTTCCCCCTGTGTTGTCTCCTCTGCATTTGGGGTGATTGAACAGGCTGAAGCTAGACTGATGCCATTGCACACTGCCCCAGGTGAAGGGCAGTGCAGAGCTGAGCCACAGTTTGGAGGGGCACCAGAAGAAACCGAGGTGTTGTCTCTCCTGTGACTGGGCTGGCATGTGAGTCCACACCCTTCCTAAGGAGGACACCCGTTCTCACCCTCAGTGCATTGACTCCATTCTGCAGACTGAAGAAGAGTGGAGCTTTTCCTGCCTTTTTCTGGAAAAGAGCTTTCCAGGGGAACACAGGACCCACAACTTCTTTTCACGGAGGTTGCCACTGTTACCTGTCCTTGCAGAGGCCAGGGAAGGAAGGGCCAGACTCTTTCTTCCTGCCTCTTCCACACGCCTGGGAAAAGGCAGGTCCCCATCTTCTTGTTGGAATTTTACTTCAGGGTTCATCTACTCTGAGATCAAACTAAGCAATGCTTTTGACTGAACCAATCCTGAAGTCCATCCATTGATCTCTGTCACAGTCCTATTGCTTCCTTCAGAATAACTCCATATATTATTATCTCATTACAGTTATCTCCAGGAATTAATCTGAATTTGGGGGTTGGGCTGGCTGGCTGGGCTTCTGAGCTTCATTTTCTTTCATTCTTGTCAGATTTGTGAAGGATTTTAAACAGTCATCTCTTTGAGAAAAGCTGGTTGTAACTACATCACATCTGTGTATACAAACTTCTCTACAATAAAAGGGTGTTTCCTCAAGACTATGGAAATAATTTTTGCTGGTCTTCCAAGCACAAACATACATAAATTCCTGTCCAGTCAATCTGACGTGGCAGGATTTTCTCTGTAAATGACCTTGAAAACAGTTTTTCAGTCCACCCACCAGTCTATTCACCAGCTTTCCCTCCATACTGTATAAATGGAGGATAGAACAGTAAGTTCTATAATTTATTGTACAATAAAACCAAGAGATAATTCAAGCTTTTAGTTCATTGTCCAGAACTGCAGGCAGTTTTCCAGGTCTGATGAAGTGTGCGATACAGAACAGGGCTATACTGAGCTACACTGAAAGCTGGGGCTTCTTTTTCTCCACATCATTATAGGGATAACGTTGTGCTAATTCACATGAAATTTCTGTAGACTTTAGCTTGTCTTACTAAAGAATCAAGACTTCTTCACACACACCATATGTGCATAAGTGCAAGTACATGTGTCCTGCCAGTACTCCTAATACCTTTTGGATTTTGTCCAATTTGAGTTAAAGAGGGCAGGGAGGTTATGGTATCAAAACCATGACATTCCTACACATACTGTAGATAGACAGCTGGGAAGGTGGGAGCAGATAATGTAATATAAGTTCAGCTCTGCTGACATATCAGAGGATCCACGTGGGAGATGAATTCCCCTGCTCCCAAAGAAAAATGAGATTCTCTGAGTTACATGAAGAGACATGAACTCCAGCTGAAGGTTTTTTATCCTCAGTTGTTGAATTCATTCTCCATTTCCATGTTTAATCCTGGGGAATTCACACCACAGCTTTTCTATAATTCATTTTTAATAGTCAGTCATCTGTGACACAGAAACCCATTAAAAACCTGGCTTCTTACGTTTCTGTGCTTTGGGAAATGCTTGCTCCTAACAGTGCTTTTTTCACTATTCCTTGCATTTTTCCCTTTCTCCCAGACATTAGGAGCGTGTGCTTACTCAAATTCTCTCCTGTTTTCTTATCTTAAACTCTAATATAGTAGTTTATTATTAATAATTTCTGGTAACTTAAGACTGGAAAGAAAATATTTTCAAAGTATGTTGACATGGAACATCATAAATATGGGGCCAAAACCAGCAAGTAGGAATCTAAACCTATCAGAAATATAAGTAGATCTTTTGCTGAAATCTTCTAATTTTTTGAAATATCTGTTATAAGGCATTGCAGGCTTCACAAAGCCTACACATGCTAACGCACAAATCCCATTTCTTTCATCTGTGCCTGATGCTTTTATTCCTGATGGAACAATGCAGCTTCCCTTCATTGTACACTCATCCATGCATCGTATTGGAGAAAGCAAAGAGAAATTCATAGTGGTGACCCAACAGTGTGGCACTCGTGCTTGTAAGAACATCAGATTTTCTAAAAAAACTATTACCGACCATTATTTTAGGTGTTATCCTGTCTGTACTTCTTTGGGAAAACCTCTGGTTGGTAAAAACAATCCAGACTTGATATGTTACCAAAGGCCATATCAGACCAACCTATGGCCAGAGAAAAGCTTGGCAAGGAAGCAGAGGGAACAATAGCTAGTCTGAAACAAATTCCAAACTCTGTGCTTTCAAAATAGATCATTCCTCACCGCTACCCTGTTGGCCAAAGTCTAGCAACTAGGGACATCATGGATAGTTCTAACAAATTTTTGCTAATATCAACAGGTCCGCACACTGATGCTTTGAATATGCAAGATGGAAGACTTGGCTACCAGTAAAGGCAGAATGGAGAGAAGAGTGTCAACAGGGACAGAGCATGGGAGGGCAATGTTCATGTACGTCCTTTAAACAGCACAGAGAGAGAGATGTCGTTGCATTGACAGGGTTCACTGCTACAAACCTGGTGGGCTTATGTGCTCTCTTTCTCCTATGCTATGGTCAGGAGGAAATATAATTGCTCCTGTAATCTGTTACGTTAGCTGTTACGCCAGCTCTGTTTCGGACTTTTATCACTGGAGTGGATGATACCTTGGTCTTATTTGTTGTAAGGCAAAGACATCTACAGATTTATTTTTCTAAACCTAAAGGAGTATTGGTTAAATTTCTGCCAAACCACCTAGTTTGACAGAAGACTCTGAGCTGCTTCTCTGGAGCTGAGTTATATCATTAGAGGCTGCTCTCCTTAGAGGCTGCTCTCCTTAGAGGCTGCTTCTCTGGAGCGAAGTTATATCCTTCCCATTTACATGTCTCTATTAGCTGCAGAAATTGCAGTCAGGTACCACGAAAAAGCATTTCTTGCAAAATTTCATTGCCTGTGGCTACAGAGATGTTCCAGCACTATCTCAGTACACAGCTCCGAGAAACCCAAAACAGCAGCCATAGCTATCTAAAGGGAGGCTTGGCTCTGATAAATCAGGATTAGCGTTCTTTCAGAGGACTCTGGTATTTGTAAATGATGTTTCCACACCCATGGATTTGACCCAAAATGGTTCTGCAACGTGGCCAGTTTTTCAGCTGAATAGCTCAGCAGGGTGTGGAAGCCAGATCTGTGACCTTCTGCCTGCAGCCTGTGTCTACCTCCAGCAGAATAAGATACCAAAGCAACAGGAGTGAAAACCTCACTGTCACCCAGCCAGCAGATATAAAGTTATTTCAAAGCAAAAAGGCAGTTCTACAACTATATCCTAGACAATGAGCTACAACAGTAGTTTATTTTAATTAAGAACTTATGGGAAATTTAATGCAGTAAATTACTTTTTTTCTTTCAGATTATTCAAACCTTTCAAATGGGAGGGTTTTCAGAAAGTCATGAAAGGTTTGCCCTTTGTAGCCAGAGCTGGACTTAACTAATTAGTCTGAGCAGAGGACACAGGGTCACTTGGAAGGCTGAATAAACAGCAAGGAGAAGAATCAGGCATGCAGCAGGGCTGGCTACTTGGCTTACAGAAGCAGCTTGCTAGCCAGCAGAGACAGAAGAGCTGCGAAGCTACTCTGAGAGAGGGAGCTGCAGCACAGCAGTCTCTGCAGCCATTTCAGAGGACTTCTGTTTGCTCTTTGAGCTCAACATGACCAGCAAGAGGAGGG